GTCAGTTGTTCCCCTTGCAGTGATAAGTGTGTACACAAAGAGGTAACGGGTTACGTAACATATTTTGATACAGTTTATAGAAGTAGATTACAAATGCACAATTTTGATTTGAAACTTGATATTAATTTTCTTAGGTTGGTATATCCTATTAAATATTTCGGATTTTGTACATTTATAGATATACATTTATGGTTGAGTATTTAAATGTCAATTTGTGCTGATGTAACAACATTTTTGTTTTACAAATTTGTCATGTTTGGCCAGGGATTTGGCAGTTTTGACAGCATGTGGTAATAAATAATAGCTCTATAATCTATATAAATACAAAGTCAAAAATAGCATAAGTGAATATATCTTGCTAGTGGTATTGACAAAGTTAAAAAGTTGAAAATCTGTGTCGTGTCATTGTTATATTTATTATTGATTTATAACTGTATTCGCAAATCTTTAATCAAGATATACCCACGTAAAATAAAAAATGCGTCCGTTTCATGACTACTAATTTTTAAACATCCTTTTTTATATTAGATATTTTTCTGACTAAACTGTTTTGTAAAAAATGAAGGTTATTCCCCGTCATCGTCATTTTTGGCTTACCTCATTTAATATAAATTTGAGGTGATTTCCATTGTGCTGTATTGATTCAATAGAAACGATACATAAATAAAATGCTATACTGGATCAATTGTTCACATATATTATATTAAGTGTCTGATTTTGAATTATTATCAATTCAAACATGTATTTGGCTTGGGCTTAAATGCGTCTGTAGTTGTTAATGTACGAAAACAGATGTACTATAGACAGTTGAATAGAAATTTCATTGAATAGATATCTTATAAATAATATAGTGAGCCCCTCTGAGCATGAAGGTTATAGCAAATAGTCTCATTATTTAGTTGAGATCCTTGCCTTGTATATTTCCTCGACATGTAGGCAGTTATTTTGACACAAAGTTACTGCATATTTTCATCAAATCATTGCTACACAGAAAAATGTATACAAGCATAACAGGGAAAAGTAAAAGAGCTACAATCGATAGTTATGTACTATTTTTTTCGGTAAACATTTGCCTCCAACAAGTAAATGTTTATTATTCAAATATATAAAGGACAATAGACAATAAGCTAAACAATTAACAAAAACCTTTTATGTCAGGGGCGCGGCCTTTAGCGCTGACCAAATGCCATATAGCATTGGTTGTGCTCATCACCATACTTTGACAATCACTGTGATTCACGATAGCGCTGCTTTCAACCTCTCCTTAAATATTCTGATATGTATAATGTTGTACTTTAATAGTGTTGGTTTAAATACTACTCAAACATCAATATTAACATATAACAAGCGTACCGGTTTCATTTGCGAATTTGCAAAGGACCAATTTCTATATCTCGATATGGTTCTCTTCCTCCATGTTGACACCAGTAGAGGCACACTCCGGTTTCTGAAGATGGCTTTTACATGTATATTTTCTATATGCTTGGTTTGCGTATTTCAAGAGGTTACTCAACTTATTGTAATGGTAACCAAAAAAATAGAGTTCATTATTTCAATTTATGCAATAATATATGGTTTTGGAAACTTTTACATAATTTGTGTTTTAGATCAGTTCATTTAATTTCATGAGTAATGTGAAAAACATGTTGCTGCACATACCAAAGGAAATGAAGCTTCAAATGGCGCTATATTCAACTAAAACGAAAGTTTCCGTTAAAATGCGATTCGGAAAAATGGCCATTCATTGTTGTTTTATTAATTTATTTTCTTTACTTATTGTTGCCCAAGAACCTCGCCAAATGTTATGTATTATAACTTTTCTTCTTTTATCCATGTTTGCTAATGATCTGTTGTCGTTATATCCTTTAATAGACGTGACTGTTGATAACGTTAATCAAAATTCGAAGACATACCGACTTAAACTTAAACCGAAAGAAAACATGAAAACTAGTATTTTAATAACGTACAAGTAAGTGTGTACGAAAGAATATACTGACACCCTTATATATTTTGTATGCCTTAAAGAAAAAATACTTTGTATAATACGTATCTATAAAAAATTGACTGGTTATATGGTAAAATAAATCTTAAAGACTTTAATATTTATTATAAACCAACAGTCACAAAGGTGCATAGTTTCAATGATGATCGTTGGAAATTTAAGGGAACAAATTGTTCTTCTTAACATACAGTAGATGTGCACTTTATCATATGAACCCCATGGAAAAGATTTATGAAATTATGAATTGAAATATATCCTCTTGGTATAACAAGTTGCTTCTATATGGCCCTTTGTCTCTTTTTGATATAAAAACCATGTAAATGAAAATGACTGATATGCCAAATCTACCTTTTGTTATTATTTATGTTATTAGTTATGTACATTTTATCTTAGGTCTTCGATACTTTTTCTTAAACTACCTTGTGAAACCCATAAAATTTACATCTTAGCTACAAACTCAGATGTAGAATAAATGTATAAAATTATATATGATTATATCATCTCTATATCTATCGAACAAATAATGCTCCGAAAACATACTTTTTTCAAATAAATAAAAGCGGTTTATCCCAGAGAAACGTCTTCCTTCTAAAGTAAAATTTCAATGAAAAGAAGAAAAACATATTTCTTATCAATAAATGTAAGTTCTTAAGAAAGTCTAAGTTTGAAATACGTATCTTTAACAGTATAGTAGCCAAAGAAGAGAAAAGATCAATATAAACTATATAAGTAACTTTTAAAAAGCCATTACGTTCTATGCTGTGATCATGTATCGTCTTATTTTAAACAGGCATATAAATTATATTGGTATGTTTTTACTTGGTATTATTTTCTTTCTCTAACATGTCTAATCTACTCTGGCGTAACCTTCCTTAACTGATTCACACTGATCTGATCATCTTACATCAACTTCTTCAGAATGCACTAGTGTCCAGTTTTGTATTTTCTTTTATAACTTATCGTCCTACCTATGTTTAAGGCTGTTCACATTCACCATTTTGTTGATTAGCCAAGTTCCTTTACTTTTTGACATATTTATTGTATGTGTTTATTTTGATAAATTCTATGGATTGTACAATTTATGTTTGTAAATGTAACTATATCAGCATCTTATCATTCCGTAATAGAGTGGCAACATAAATCATCATCGAAATTGTAAATACTTCTATTTAACTTTAATTTATATTTGGGACGACACAGTATAGGTCATTTAGCGACGTTCCAGCTTTACTGGTGGAGGAATACCTTAGGTGCCCCTCCGCGCATTTTTTCAGGCACGAACGGGCACCTGAGTAGAACACTATTTAACTTCATTGTGTTTATTAGTCGCCGGTAAAAACCGGCGACTATATTTGTAATAGTTTAATATTATACCTATGGTAGGAGAAGCCCTTAAAATATGAAAATAAAAGCATATCAAACATTGAACATTTAAAGACAACAATTATTTTTCAGTAATCACAAAAAATCAAACATATGATAACTTTGCTCAGTGGAATGAAATATGCACATATTGACGTCTTAAAAAGCAACATTACAATTTTCATAAAATGAATCAATAACGTATCCCCAATGATCAGTCATTGAATATTAGAGATACTTTTACTTTTTTCTGTGTGTCAAGCATTGCTATTTTATAATATATAAATCATGAATGATATTTGAAATGACACTTTAGAATTATTTGGTTGTTTATTTTTTATGAGACCTTTTATATTACATAAATTTATCTAATTATAACAAATGCTCCCTGGTCTTTCGTAAGAATCACGTGACTACGTGTTTATATATGTTGTATATCGTAATAAAAAAAATTAATAGTTACAGATTGCTGATAAGACTGGTGGTAACTGATGAGATGCATATCATTGTAATTTTGTACAGATAATTACATAAGTTATTTTTCATTAATCAGGTTCATACTTTATATCATTAGAGAAACCTGTTTACATTAAAAATACATTTTCAAAACCTTTTCCTTTCTTCTTGGTAAAGGGTTTAACTTGGCCCTTTCTGTCAAACATTCGACAAGAAAGTTCAATTGTTTAGTTTAGGTTGAACATCCCAAAATAATGTTATGCTTTAGAGGCACATTATTGAAATATATAATGGTAATCGTTGATTTCGGTATATTCCGTCGGTTTCCGTCACGCAGGTTTCCAAAACGGTATGACGTCAGGGGTCCGGAATCGTATTAGATACATAGAAAAAAATAATAAACTATCTTTGTGTTGATAGTTTATCGCACTGAAAGGCAATTAAACGTTAATTTTATATATCGTATGTAACGATTGGAATACGTGTATTGATTTCAACTAAATTATATATTTTTTCTATAGCACATAATAATGATGTACAACACTTTTACAATAAAATTGTATTGTTTCATGTAATAATTAAACATATATATTTTCATAGTCACTTTGCAAATATTCGATGATTGGTAATTATTTGTCGGTAATTATCTGAATCTGAACTAGTAACCTATACGGATTTCAATGTATGGTACAACAGTATATGTATAAAGTAAAATTACAAGAAGAATAACCAGCATAGCACTTGCCTTACAAGCCTCACTCAACTCATTGTTCCTCTTATTTTTATACGTGAACCATTAAACTTATATTTTCTTATATTTATGATAATACAATCATTTTTCTATCCGGCGACTTGATGATTTAGCATCAAAATCTCTACTTGTATATTGATGATACTTAAATAAAGATAAACACATGTTTCCTACGGTGGTAGGTCATAAGCAGGTACAACAGTGTATGTTTTCCTTCGTTGTATCAATACCTGATTCATACGGTCTGCACACACCGTACTTTCTATCTTTTCAAGGAATAATATGTATTTTACTCTTATTTGCTAATTGTTTAAAATCTTTCTCATTTCAGTTTCGATTATAGTTGTAATGCAAAGATTATAACACTATGTAAAAGAACTGATAAATATTATCGTTTTTCAGAAAATAAATAAGTCAAGACTATTTATAGCTTATACGGATTTTTATTTGCTTCCATTTACCATAATCATAAGAAAGTATCAAGCGAGAAGAAGTAATTAAGCATATTTTAGATTTTGGCAAATTGAAATGCGATTTTACGGCGTATTACTAGCGAAATTCAAAATGCACACGACAGTACACCATACCACGTGTTATTTTATCATTGTTCTGAATATATTTCTTATTTGCAAATGAATCTTGGTGTTAGTAACAAAGTGAACAAGTGATATTGCCGATGTATGACATTTTGAATTATACAACTAAACAAATAGTACTGTATAAAAATTACAAAATAAAAAGCAGAACAAATCACAGTCTTATCTTTGATATGCAAACATCATAAACTCTGATACCCTTTCAAAAGTAAAATTTATTTAGTTTCGCCCATTATTCTCTCGATTAGGGCACATGCATTTCTTCACTTGATGACCATATACCGAATTTCATGGAATGGCACTTACGTGTCACATTCTAGGTCCCATGATAACCGCAAAATTGAACTCATCTTCGGATGTTTCAAAATTCAAAATTTTATCAGTTCATGTTACATGATGAATTCTGCTTTAGCCGGTACCAGGGGCTCGGACGGTAGCTTGCAATAACGTATTTTGCCATATTGTGATTTCTTAAGGTGTTCTGTTTTTCTCTATTTATCTTTATTAACACATTATTCGTCTTACAATTCTTAGTATAAACACAACTTAAAAAAGGAGAAAGAAATCTTATAATGTACTAATTCATCAGAAAAATGTACAGAATCCTACTTGAAGACACTGCAAAATAAACATGCACATACATATAACAACTTTTAAACGCTTCAAGTAGACTTTTCGGAATATTTCAAACAAACTATTCAGAATAATTGCTTGAAATTTTCAGTGAAGCTAAAGAAATATATAAGACAGTTGTTGGTGGAAAACAAACAACAGACGTCTCTGTTATTTGAAGATTTTGTTTTTTATTTGATGCAACCTCCACTTTACAAAGTCGCAAAAGCTATCGGATAAATGCAATTACTAATAAAACGAAAATCATGGCCCCGAATCTTGAAAAAAGTCTTTGGAATGATAAGAATTATTAAATATCAGTACGTATAATAAAAAGGTAAATCGTTATAATTGTTATCACAATCTTTGGATGATACAAAAAGATATAGCACATGACAAATATCATAAATGACGCCAGGCGTTCAACGGCAACGCGTACGCTGCGCAAACAAAAATAAATACTGCTGAGAGTAATCATTTGCGGTGTTCCTTTTTGATATTGTAATACAATAAGATTAATAAACTTGAATCGACCAATATGCCTTAAGGAACAAAAAGCAACTATATATTTTTATGTAAATTTAAAATTTTATGGAAATTCAATCATAAATTAATACGTAGTCTACAAGAAATTCTGCAAATCTGTACATTTTGCATTACCCACACTATGAGTGATATACTGTGAGTGATATGTATTTTATTTCACCTATTAAAAACCAGAATTTGAATTTCACTTGTAATCAAAAACTATTGCAACAATTTGACAGAATTGGCGAAATATTGACAAATTAAAATATACGGTTAGTCAATTATATTAGCGTGAAGCAAACAGTCATGCTTGAAACGTTAGCTCAGTGGGTGTTGGATTACAGATATAGCACGTTCGATTCTACAAGTATCTGTAATACATATTTTCTCGTTTTGCTTATCATTTTAGAATATCATAATGTTAGAAATAACGATTAATTGAGGATTCACCATAAACGCTGTATTAAAAACATTACTATCAAATCGGCCTTTGCAAACATTCATTATTCACTGTATAGCCAAATTTATGGTAGAATTTATTTTGAACAGGAAAATTTAGAAACAGTATTTTAAACATGAAATATAATGAAACGCTGTAAATACACGTCTGCGGATTTTAGCGAACCGGCGGCCCTGAGCTAGATACTGCACAAAGGAGTGTTGCGTTGTAAATCTTTATACAAAATAAAGATATTTCAATATATATTGTCATTTTTTTGTCTGTACATGCTACGGGCACTGTAGAGGATCTGTCGATGTTTCACTAACTATTTAATCAGTATGCAACTGACATGTAAATAAAACCGAGAAATATTACATTTTACTCAAAGTTTTACTATTTAATGTTATTCTGACAAATGTCAGATCAGACTATTATTTCTTTCCTCTTGTAGAAAGTGGGTAATTCTGAAGTACATCTTTATTCACTGTTTTATATACAAAATCTGTATTTACAAGAATAAAAAAAACAACATATTTTGGTTATATCTGATCGTGTAATTAAAAAAATATGTATTTTAGTAAATACGAACTTCATTCAAAGTTCCCGCATATTACGAGTGTACGGATCACGGTATATTAGTCATATACGTATTGCATGATATACGGTCCCGTACATCAAATTTCACTTATTTTTACCTGGCTATCTATAATATACGGAATTTCGTACCCTTTATTGTATCCATATATTTTCCGCAGTGGTCATGATAGCGTAAAATGCCGTAAAAAGCGGGATTTTGACACAGGGCGATCGTTTTAATAACATCAAAAAACCAAACGCCCCGTGACAGCGTGACTTTTATCCAAAGGGTTGGGGGAAATAAAATCACGTGTACCGAAAAAATTGAGTCGGTGACCCCCTAATTTTTTTAGTTATTTTGACTAAGTATACATTTTAAAGGACGTTTAAAGAAAGAAATCAAAAATTTATTTCAGTTTTTTTTTAATAAGCCACTTTACAGCCGAAAATTGCGGCTAAACTGAACGTCAAATTTTACACAAAATTGACAATTTTCTTTCCATTACTCAAACAATTTTCGGCGTAAAACAATAAATTTTATATCTGCTTCAAGGAAAAAATAATTTCCGTCGAATGCTGTAGGATTTAAGATATTTTGTCCGCCAATGGCGTTGAAATACCCGTAACAGTTGCCAAGGATACGCAACGACGTCGTGTTCAAAAACGGGCTTTGATGGTCAACTTTGACGTCATGTGTACAAAAATTGGCTGAAACTATTGAAATAAAATCAACGAAATCCAATCAGAAATATGGTCAATTATTTGCATGCCAATTTTCAAGACGCTACTCGAAAGTTCGCAAAGTGTCGCGTTCTACCTTAAAGCTTTTTTCAAGCTCAATTATTGCTTTTTTGAGGGGGAGGGGGTGTAATAACTATAGAATATTAAATCATTAAAAGATAATGAAAATGGCGATAATATAAAATGAAATTTAATTTATTATAAATTTGCAAGAATACAGTTTATAATATTGAGTACTGAATAGTTGACTAAATTTTCGACTTTGGAAAACGGGGTTTCATAGGATTATCATTAAATATGTTATTTTTAGACTTATTGTATTGTAGATTTTATATTAAACAACGGCACAAGTATTAATTTGTATTTTAGGAAAATTGTTTTCTGTTCCTTTCGGTAGTTTTAAAGTTATTACAAAATTGGTGTCGTTTTAAAGCGAAGTTTAAGCCAAAGTCTCTATCCGATGTAAAAGAGATACTTCTTTCTTGTAACTCTGAAATTCGTTTTCGCAAGAAACCATTATACTTCAATTCAAATTAATTCATAAAGAGTTAACTCGCTTTTCAACCTTGTCACTTTTCGTTTTTCGGACAAGTAAATGATACCTTTGCGAATTCTTGTATTTATCACATTATCTGTACTGCTTCTTATTTTGTAAGAAATCAAATATATAGAATCTACTTGTATGGTTATTGTGAGGGCTCCTCGACCCCTATCATGCCAATGAAGGGGAAAATAAATGGGGTTACACTTAACTGGGCGCCCGAAACTGAGAATAAAATGTTACTACGAAAATGCTACTGGTTGCGTTAGCAAAGTTGTTAAGTGTACATGCATTAAACAAATACCTTATTTAGAAGCATAGGGCTTGGAATGGATAAATATGATTTTTAAAACAGGATATCAACACACTCACAAGTATTGTTAAATTCAAGCAAATGTTACAACAAACTTGAAAACAGTTTCAAACAGGAGTAAGTCATATATTCATCATTTTAGTTGAATGCATTTATGTTGGCGTTTGTTCTTGCGTTTGCCCACCTGCTTGTAGCTCTCCAGGGCGCATCAACATCTTCATTCTGGTTCATCAGCACTAAAATGTGAATGCTTATAATAATAGATTGATATGATATTTAAAAAGCGAGGTTTTAATCACGCGAAGGAATGGTCAGCTGTGTACTGCATACCTTTAGAAGAGCAAAGATAATTCTACCCAGACGAATGTATATTTAGATTTGCGCAGATGTTGTAATTAAATGGGGAAGCGTAATGGCACTAAAATTCCACTAAGTTCTTACTAGTAGTACTCGTTTTATACAGAAACAGGCCGGATGTGCTTCCATGCATATTAAGACAGTTTTGCTCGTAATGATTCATCATAATGCCTTAACCAACAAAAAAAATCAATTTGAGCATAAACGTAGTATATAAGACATTAAAGGCATCAGACCCGTTACCAAATCTAACCAAAATCAAACAGCACACGTTTGAGCTCGCTTTACTATATATAAGGTGGTTGTTTATAAGTTTTTGAAAGCAGAAATATGTCCGCACATCACCATACAAATCATCTCACTATAAAGAACTAAAGATAAATTTCTTCAAAACGAACTTGTTTCCTACTTTCTTGAAGTCAACAAATAAAATGGATTGAACAATTCAGATGTTTATGACAGTGCAATGCAACAGCTCTTACACGATGCGTTTTGACCAAATGCGAAGAAAAGGTGGAGAAAAGGCGTTTACGTATGATTTAATTTTAGCCTGGTTCCACAATATTAATTATCTTTATACTACAGACAGTTGCACAGTCCATTATTTGTATACGGAGATAAGAAAACATTGTCTTTCCATTTGAAGAAAATTAAAAGATATATCATTACAACAAAGCCAGAAACTTAAAATTGGTCATTAAGTGTAAAGCTAATTGATGTGAATGTTTTTATGTACTGGTGTTTTTATTGACGAGTCCCAAAATTATCGTGTCATTCCGCAGTAAATCATACGTCTTTGCAGCAGAATTAAGATAATGTGTACAGTATTCATATAATATAGATATATTATCGACTTTTAATTTACATTTTCATTTGTAAGTGTTGAAGAACCAGTTATGTTTTCTGTGATAGAAATTAAAAGCAGAAGACAAAAACACTTACAGGCTCTGTTGTTTTGGGGAGCGGTCTCTTGTGTATGTACCAGGTTCCTGTTTTATAATAAAATCATGATAGTTATTAGGTTTTTATTTGAATAAGGGTACATTTGTTAAAAAGTGTATCATACTGAGTTAAAAAAAATATTCATATCTTTGTTATAAATCTTTATATTAAATGGTGTACGTATAAGAAAAAGTAATCACTTTTGTCAAGATGATTAATTCGCACAAAAGAATATGGTAAGAAATGGCTTAAAATTGCACTTTATTCAGTAAAAATGTATGTTTTATTGTTATTGTTAACCGAAAGTTAATAAATTTCTCATTACAAAATCATATCGCTGATATATCTCAGACCGTCCGTAGTTTCTGTTGCTGTTTTTGCAAGGTCTTTTGCTGTCTTTACAAGGCCTTCTGTTTGAATCTCACATGCTTTTATTCTATTTCTGCATATTTCTATTTCCCTTTTTTGTTCTCCTGCAACGTTGGTGCATTGGTGTTCTAAAGCTATTCCTCTTTGTATTTGATATGTTAGCAGCCCTTCCATTCTCCTCTTCCATAGGTCATTGCATTCGTCGGCGGCGTTTTCTCTTAACCTGCTCTCTCGTTGAACTGTTTTGATTTCAACTATCTGCTTATTTTGCTTTTCAATCATTTCAAAAAGGGTCTGTTTTAAATGAAATGTATATGTAATGTATTTTTTAAGATCCTTATAAAGTGTTAATCAAGGAAAACAAAAGTAATGTTGTATTCGAACCAAATGAATCAAATTTAGCATTAAACATATTACCAGTTATTTAGTTATTTACGTATTTATCTCAGAACTGTTTTAGTATTAATATTAAGTTTATTCTAACTTAAGGAAAGAAAAACTAAAATGAAGTTTTATTTCATCTATATCTATTTCGGAAGGCACAATAAACCTTTTTAAAGTATTTTAGTTTGAGTCTCGAGTAAACATATTGAGTTCAGTCATGATATTATGACGTTCATTTAATAATGGCCGGTTTCAAATGTGCACATATGATCCGGTGTGACTCATGTTCAAACTCAAACTAGAAAAAAAATGACTGCAAATTGTGTCGCTGGCCTCAATGCGTCTGGAGAGCTCACGATAATATCATTCGCTCTAACCCAATTACCCCTTTCTCCGCAAGATGAATCATTATTTATATTTTTAAAGAATTAATAAACACAAATAATTTAAAGAAACAATTATGCTGACAGTCTTGAAAAAATATGTTGCCATATCTAAAATCTTCATACTTCTTTCTAGATTGTTTGTTTGTTTCTTGATTTGGTTTAACGACACACCGACACAGTATAGGACGTTCCAGCTTTCCTAGGGTGGAGGAAGACCTCATGTGCCCATCCATGCATTATTTCAGACACGAACGGGCACCTTAGTAGAACCACCGACGTTCCGTAAGCTAGATGGATAGTTTCCTCACATGAAACGATCCAAAGTCCTATCGGGATCCGAACCCACAACGGTGAGGGGCAAGTGGTTTGAAGTCAACGACCTTAACCACTCGGCCGCCGACGCCCTCTTTTTAAAGCGTTAAAAGATATTCTTTATTTAGTGGCTTAAATTTTCTCAATGATTTATTGAATTAGAAATTAGACTCATTAGTAAAACAGTGGCAGATTGTAAATCAATAAACTGCTTAAATATTTGGTGGGCTAGTATGATCTATCATCATAACGTATCTTAGGTATGTTAACTATTTGCTTTATATTCAGTTATGACAGGGCTTTACAATGATTTGATATAAAAATGTTACCAACAAGCACTGCTGCAAAAACTCATTATAAACATAATATGATAATGCATTCTGTTCCAAGTAAATTACTAAATGCAACCTGTGCAAATAAACACACATAGGAGACGAAAAGTTGTGAAGTTGATACAAAGTATCGCTCCAAAAAGGTCAAATTAGTTACATGTACTAAGCTTTACTAAAAAAACAACTGGAACTTTCGTTGTAGAGAAGTAATTGATCTACAGAGGGGGTTGCAATGTACTAGTTAATTACCTTTATCTCTTTTTTTCCGGCTTCAGAATCTGATATAAGGTTCTTTATTTGATCCGCATGCTTGACAATTTTGTCAGTTTTGGCAGTATGCCTCGTCTTTTCTTCTTCCATAAATGTGTTTATTGTACTTTTAAGCTCATAATAATCTTTAGAAAGATCCTATAAGACGACCATAGATGATTTATTTGAAAATTTTATATTAGTAATTATCAGCAAATGTTAAAGACAATAATTAGATAGGTTATACACAGTCAATAGATTTTGACCTTAAACTAATTCAGTGAATTCAAATTTTATCAGTGACTGTCCTTTCTTGAACTCAATCTTTGTATATTTATCTATAATCTGTAAGTTAATAAGGAGTTTCATAATCGTTGGGTTTAGCCATTTGCAATGCCAAATAAATTACCTCTAGTTTTTCCCCCCCGGCGTGATAATCCCGTTCGAGTGACGTTATTTTCTCCTCCAACTCCTTAATTTTTCTGACTCTACGAGCATTTCTTGTGTCTCCATTTTCTTTGAGACTGCTTATGTCGTTTTTATAATCCGTTTTGAGGTTTTCTATATCCTTTTTGAGCTCTTCATAATGTTTCTATAATGATGTTTAAGGACATGTAATGATATTTAATATTTGTATGTGTTGTGTTTGATCTTACCCAATTCCAAATATCTTCTGTGAAATAAATACATTCCTTTACCCAAATGGATGAATTGTATCGAGGTTGAGTCTGATAATATAATTATAGTACTTGTAATTAATCTAAGATTTCCAAGTTATTTTAACTTGATCCAATCAAATCTGAGATATATTTAAAACTTTAATATAAAAAAAATCAACTTGGCTGAAACAATAACATATTTCAAAATGTATATTTTGTCTAAATGTTAGCCAGAAATTATCTTTTAAAAAAAGTTAAGATACCATTCATGGTTTTTGATTTTCCTTAAAGTGAACTTGATCTGGCGTTGCAATCCTGAGACTTAACTTGTGAAAGCATCACTTGCAATAATTTTGGTGAAAATGGAACACATATTAAATGTAAGTAAAATATAATTTCATAATGCAGAATGTGTCCATATTATATCCAAAATACAAAAGTTTGAGTTTCTTATAATTAGTCAAGACTGTCTGAGCATTCCCCTGAAGTCAACAAAAAGAAAACACCTAGGATATGAATTAAGAATTTTGAATGCACTGATATAACGTTTATTTTGTATCATTTGTTTCAGAGGCATTCTTGTTTTATTCACATCAAATACTTAAATTGCTATTGGTTAGGTATCATAAAATCATTCGTTAACACAGTATGTATATTTTATGAGTTCTACAAAGTTTTCATAATTGAAAGATCAATCAAATAAGAATATATACAATAGAAATTTGATGCCGATGAAGTAAACATTGTTGCTGTATTACTAATTTCAAGTTTCATCTCGATTATGAATACAGTAACATTCCTTGAAATTTAAATACATTTCGCTACACATGTTCGCGTCGTTTGATTGTTTATTTTTTTTAATCATCTTAATAAAGATTGGACTACAATATATACAATGATTATTTAAATCTTAGATTGAAATCAAATCATATAAACAAATAGAAGCAGTACATCTCAAATATCTATTTAGGTAGATTTTTGTAAAGGAGAGAATATGTACTTGTTCTGGTGTTAGTTTCATATTTGGACAAAATCGTATGTCCTTGGCTCTATAGGCTAGTATGATATAACATCATAGCAAACCTTAGGTATGTTCACTGTTTGCTTTATATTAAGTAATAAAAAGGCTTTACAAAGCACCGTTGTATAAAATCAATAATCCATTCTGTTTCAAGAAATGTACTAAATGGACATAGATATATTTATCACATAAACCGCGGCAGGGTGTGTAATAAAGCCATATAATAATCAAAGGGCTTCAAACTCTGGTATTTTCTGATCTTTGCAATCTAAATCGTACTGTAAATCTGTATGTATTTTCCTGTATAAGTTTATTTTTGTATATAATTCATCTTACAGGGCACTGCGTTGAGATTTTTTACTATAACAGTTTGAGTTTAGTACATACGGAATTTGTATGACTAGAATTGCATCAAAAAATAATTTATGTTCATGTTTGTGTTGCCTTGAAAAAGGCGACATATAGGGGTTACTTTTGTCGGCTGTGTCGGTCTCGTTGTTGGCGTCTGTGTCCCCTTAAGATTGTCCGGAGCATAAGTCAGTCATTATAAGTAGGATCGACCATAAACTTGGTATCCATGCTTCTTTTAATGACAAAAAGTGCAGTGCACAAGTACTGGTACTCTGTATTTCTTATTTTTTGAGTTATTGCCCTTTGTTCATTTTCATACTTTATTTTTGTCCGGGCCATTTCTCCTCAAGTATAAAAGCTATGAACATGAAACTTCATAGGATGATAGATCTCATTAAGAAGACGTGCAGTGCACAAGAACCGGTACTCTACATTTCTTATTTTTCAGTTATTGCCCTTTGTTAATTTTCATACTTTATTTTTGTCCAGGCCATTTCTCCTAAAGTATAAAAGTCATGGTCTTTAAACTTCATAAGATGATAGAGCTCATTAAGAATAAGTGCAGTGTACAAGAACCAGTACTCCTCATTTCTTATTTTTTGAGTTATTGCCCTTCGTTAATTTTCATACCTTATTTTTGTCCGGGCCATTTTCCTTAAGTATAAAAGCTATAGACTTTAAACATCATAGGATGATAGATTTATTAAGAAAAAGTGCAGTGCACAAGAACCGGTACTCTGCTTTTCTTATTTTTTTTAGTTATTGCTCTTTGTTAATTTCATACTAAATTTTTGTCCAGGCCATTTCTCCTAAAGTGTAAAAGCTATGGACATTAAACTTCATAGGATGAAAAGAAGTGCAGTGCACAAGAACCGGTACTCTGCATTTCTTATTTTTTGAGTTATTGCCCTTTGTTAATTTTCATACTCTATTTTTGTCCAGGCCATTTCTCCTAAAGTATAAAAACTATGGTCTTTAAACTTCATAGGATGAGTTATTGCCCTTTGTTAATTTTCATATTTCATTTTCTGCCTGGCCATTTCTCCTAAACTATATTGTTCACAAGGCGACACATCCGACTCGCTGAGTTCCAGTTTTATGACAGCCACACTTTATGGCTACTTCCTTAAAAAAGACACTTAAAAAGATATAGTTGCCTCGACTGGGATTTAAACCACAGACCTCTAACTCCCTAAATCAGCGCGTAAAACCTGCACCACGGGGAAGTTATATAAGACTGAATAAAATTAAATAATTCTAAATTTAGAATTTCCATTTCGGGTTTGAAATCCTTATTAAGTTCGAGGTATTTTGTTCACGATAAATCTATTGTTTAACATTGATGTAGATATATGTTGATGTCAAAACAGTCCGACAAGTATATATTCCACTACTCGACAGTCAGATTTATTTGTGTACTACGCTCTGAATTATTCGGTAATCGACATCGCTAAAAATAGCATTTTCATTGATAAAAATGATATTCATCAGCGTAATTTGTGGTTGTGCATTTATTGACAATTTTATAAGCCAACGCTACTTTTAAACTTTGAATTTGTAGGACACTTGTAACAAAATAAAAATATTTCTTTTTACATCGGTAGTTTTAAGCTGTTTTGAGAACTACTTGTTGTTAGGTTTGTCGTGAAATTCTGTGCCAAAGATTGAATGTCAGCATTGTATTTCCTGATCTGCGATCATAAAATACAAAAACGATATTACACTAGTGTAATAACACTTTGACGTGACGTCATTTGCTCTATATATAAACCTAGCGTTAAAGCGCGCTAATGTAAGCGTAACACTATAGGCGTGTCAATGAAAAATGACTCGTTTTGACTCTAAAGCGTTTCTCTTTTTAATAAGTTATAATTGTTATATTCGTGCAGATTCAATACTAAATTTATTGAACTCGTTGAATAAAACAATATTATGCTCGCGAGAGGCTCGCATAATATGATTTTATTCAACTCGTTCGACTCGTTCAATAAATTTAGTATTAAACCTACACTCATTCAATATCCTCTATATATAGAATATCTACCGTTTAAGTGATTCAAATGTTGATAAGTGATATGAATGATATGCATAATTATGATATAAACAAACACATGTCGTACTTAATGATAGATACAGTGCAATCTTTGCAAATAAACACCTATAGGATAGGACAATTTGAGAAGTTTGATACAAAGGATCGCTCCAGAAAGGTTAGATTTATAATTGAGCCTTACTTAGAAAACAACTGGAACTTTCGTTGTTAAGAGGTAATTGATCGACTGAGGGGACCAATGCAAAGGTTGCACTATACTTGTAAATAACCTTTATCTCATTATTTCCGGCTTCAGAATCTAATTCAAGCTTCTTAATTTTACCCTAATGCTTGGCAATGTCGTCAATTATGTCAGCCTTTTCTTTCTCCAAAAAACTGCCTATTTCCTTCTTGAGCTCATGATAATCTTTAGAAAGATCCTAAAAGACGATTTGAAATTTAATATCAGAAATAATCAGCAAAATTTAAAGATAATTATTAATTTGGGTGTAAACTGTGAATATATTTTGATCCTAAAAATATTCAATGAATTCAAATTTCATCAATGAGTCCCTTTTTTTGAACTCAATTTTTAAATACTTATCTTTAAACAAATTATGTAAGCTTTACGTCAATGAAGAGTTTCATAATCGTTGGTTTTAGCCAGTTGTAATGACAAATAAATTACCTTTAGATTTCTTTTTCCGGTTTGATGATTCAATTCGAGTGACTTTATTTGATCCTTCAATTTCCGAATTTGTTCGACTCTAACATCATTATCAGTCTTTTGTTTTTCTTTGAGATTTTCATGACCAGATTTGAGTTCGTCTATTTCTGTCTCACATTCGCAAACTTTTGAAGTAGTGTCGTTACATTTATCTTCTAGTTCTATGAGTTTTGTTTCATCATATTTGAGCTCTTCATATTTTTGCTTAAATGACATTAACGGACAGTTTATGATATTTAATGTTTGTTTACTATATTATTCGCGTTAAATAAATAAAATGTAATAATCACAAACAGACAGACAAAGCTTGCCATTGTTGTTCATTTTTTATGCAGATTCCAATTTCTGAGAGTTGAAATAAGTTGAATTTTTTTGTGTTTGATCTTACCCAGTTCCAAATATATTATGTGAAGTAAATGCATTTCTTTAACCAAACGGATGAACTGCATCGAGCTTGAGTGTGATAATGTAATTTCAGTAATTGTTATTGTTATACAATTTTCCAAGTGATTTTAACGTGATCAAATCAAATCTTAGTTATATTCACAATTTTAATGGAAAAACTCAACTTTGTAAGTATTAAGAAAGTTTTATTTCTAAATGTAAGCCAGAAAATTATATTTTTAAAATAGTAACGATACCAATCATTGTATTTGCTTTTCCCTGAAGTGAACTCGCTCAGGCGTTGCAATCCTGAGACTTAATTTGTGCAAGCATCACTTTCTTTGGTGAAAATGGAACACATAAATGTAAGTAAAAAATAATCTCATAATGCAGAATGTGCCCACATTATTTCCAAATACAGAAAA